AAAAAATTAAACCAATTTTTGCAACATTTTCATGGCATTTCGCCTCAAATTACTCATTACTATATGCCCAGATGTTTTACTTTTGAGGTTCATATGTACTTTCCATTATTTACAAAGCTGAATATTAGATTCTTGTTATACTGCGATACAGTATTTTTATATCCAATTTTTATAATTATATATATTTCTAATTAGTTTGATTAGATTAAATTACATGACATTTTCTGCTTAATTGACATGAAATAATATCACAATCCCAAAAATGGCCCTAAATGGCTCTTAATTTTCTTAAAACAAATTCTTTAAAAAAAAATATTTTGATTCTTCCCGGCTTGAACATTTCCTAGAAACACAAAATATCCAAAAAATATTGTTCGATTTTGTATAATTGAATTAGATTGTATGAAAATTATATTATTTTAAAGGGGTCATATGATGTTGCTAAAAAGAACATTATTTGGTGTATTTGGTGTAATGAAATGTGTTTATGCGGTTTAAAGTTAAAAAAACACATTATTTTCCACATACTGTACATTATTGTTTCTCCTCTATGCCCCGCCTTTCTGAAATGCGTCGATTTTTACAAAGCTCATCGGTCTGAAAAGCAAGGTGTGCTGTGATTGGCCAGCTATCCAGTGCGTTATGATTGGCCGAATACCTCAAGCGTGTGACGTAAATGTTACGCCCCTTGCCATATTGTAATGATGCCCTGTCAGGACGGAGCGACGATTCAAAAACATGAAAACCCATTATAAACGAGGCATTTGTTGCATCCAGTGGGGACATAATTATGGATTATAATGACTTATACTGTCTTTTTATGCGTTGCGTTGCATCGTGCCGTGTAAACATAAAACCATGTCTGCATTTGTGATCGGAGAAATTACAAACAACAAGCCCTACTCTACACTGCCCAAAAAACTCGCTTTAAATATAAAAAATATAAAATATAAAAACTCTTTAAATATAAAAAACGTACTTAGAGTTTGTGTGTCAAAACAGCCGGCATTATAGTCTACTCTCCCAGGAAACAGTCCTCCATAAAATGTGCTGCACACATCTGAATATTTGGGTTGAACTGTTCTGGAACAGTGTTGTAAATACAACTTAACCACTGATTTCTAGTCGTGTCCATTTTTGGAAGGCCAAACAAACTAGTTTCGCTTTCACAACGAAACATTAGAACGAGCCGTTTTAGGTAGGTGTGGCTGACTCTTAACTTTTATAAAGAATATCTCTTTGGATTTGAGACTTTAGTCTTTGCAACTTTACAGATCTTCTTTAAGCACCAAGAGCTTGTAACTCTCCAAAGAGAAAGGAAAAATTGAAATCGCATCATATGACCCCTTTAAATCCATCTTTTTAATCATATTGTGAATGATTCAACCATGCCTACTTAATTTATTTTTTATTTATTTATGCTTGTATTTTTTTTTAAATGTCTCTTCAATTATTTAGTCCACCTAAATGCCTCCCCTCTCTAGGTGACTGCAATCTTACATTCAGATCTGCCTCCATCCAATTGATGACCGATTTGTACATCAAAATATGAAAGAAAATATCTGTTGATACTTTCATCGACTAAACATTCACACATAACCAAGGCTAGGAAGCCAGGCTGTGCTTGCAATGTCACCTCATTCTGCTAATGAAAGTCCCATCAGAGGGTGTGAGAATATGAAGCTGTTATCAATGCGCCCTGCTAGCACCAAAATTAGCATCACAGTTTCGCTATACGCACAACATGTAAAATAAACTAGTCGCCAAGTAACAAGAGCTGGATTAAATTAGTGATTGGTAGTAGTATCAAAACAACATAGTTGACAGATGCAGGTCAGCTATGTGGAAAGTTAACAGAAAAGGCACAATTAAATTTCCTGTGCACATTATGCTCTCTACATTCTGTGTACTTGCTCAAGATATTGTGAATCTTATGATTGTTAAGCAGCCTAATCATCACAGATCAAATTCACTGCAGATCTAAACTGTAAACAGCTTTATTTGAGGCATGATGACTTGACTTTAAAAATAACTGAATGACAATAAATAATAAATATAGGCAATGAAAGATAAACTAAAGCTGAACCAACTAACCTAAAACACAACTGGCTTGTTGATTTCCTCTCATAACATCCTTTTTAGAATGTCAACCATTTCTGACAGACTTTCTGACATTTTACTGAAATCTGTGGTTTGCAAATGTAACGTTAGCTCAATTTGGTTAAAAAGTTGAAACTCCACAATAAGTATGTTCATTTTGTGACAGCTGAATTTGGTTTTCATTAGAAACTTTTAACTTATTTCTCCCATAACTATCCATGTCCAATAAAAACAAATGTGTCATTAAGCTCTGACGCAGAAATACATTTTAGGAAAAAGCTAAATGCCAATTGTTTTGAGAAGTTAAAAGCCTGGGTTACTTCCTTAAATACAATGGACAGCAACAACACAACACAGTGCTCACGTTTCTCTTGGTTTGTTTTCAAATAAAGAGCGTTATTCATTATACCCAAACATCCGCCCGCTCTCCGGGAGCCGTGCAGCGGGACATGTGAGAGGAATACTAACTAAAACTTTCTCTAAACCGCCACTGAGCACCTACTTTACCAGCCTGACAACTTGAATGGAAGATTTCCTGGCAAGTCTCTAAAGTGAGAAGTTAAGGGAACAAGGAAAACAGCCCCTCCGAGAACCTTTGAACCAAAATTTCACATCACACCCCGAGCCCGGTAGCCTCCGGTACGGTTAATGAAGACTTACCGGAGTGTTGGCCCGATGCAGTTAGTGTCTGTGCTCTCAATCTCACGCAGGATTCGCTCGTGCTCTGCTGCTGTCTCGGCGCTCGCCATCTTCCATAACCTCGCGACCACAGTCTATGCTCACGACGCACTCTTGAGAACACAGCGCCCGCCGGAGAGAGAGAGAAAGAGAGAGAGGGGGAAAATACTGGAGCTTTTACTTCCGGTATTACTGCTGAACGATTACTTACGGCAAAATAAGTTTTAGAGTGAACAAAACAACATTGTATTTATCTGTAATGTTTTAATGAATACATATGGAGGAGGCATTTAATTTAAAAGTCCCTTTTTATTATACAATTTTGAACATTTTATACTAGCAAAGTATAAAACGACAAATAAAGTCAGGCAATTGAATGAAGAAAAGATGTGTTTATATTAATGACTGAATATATTATACTACATGACAATATTGATGTTAATTATTACAACCTCGTAAAATCAACACAAAACACAAACCCTATATTGCAAGACAGCGACATCTTGTGCTTCATGTACCAAACACATTGTGTTAAAAGATATTAATAGTAGACATCAGAGATGTAAAGAGTACCTGAAAACCATACTTGAGTAAAAGTACAGGTACCTTACAGTGAACATTACTCCACTACAAGTCACCAATTTCAAAACGTAAGAGTAAAAGTCTTGAGTATCTGATTTTAACAGTACTTAAGTACAATATACTAAATATAGGCTCAAAGATGCACTAGTCAAAGAGACAGGCCAGTGAAAAACAAGAAAGGGTTGATTTGTGAGAAGACGTTGAAATAAAACTGAACACCTCAAAATTGCAAAAAATAAATAAATAAAAATAGAAATAAATCAGAAAGGTCTCTTCAGTATAACAGCTAAATAAAATAATGTTGATTTTTTTTATTATTAGCAACTTTTACTCCCTACTTCAATACATTTTTTAATAAGTATCTGTACTCATTACTCCACTACATTTGTGTTGCAATTACACATTGCATTATACATGGAAAGAAACTCCGAAATGTGTCTTCAGTATAACAGCTAAATAAAATAATGTTGATTTTGTTTTTTTGTTTTTTGCTTAATTTATTTACTGAACATTTACAATGATAACAGGATAAGAATACAGGAGAACAATGAAAAAATAATGTTAAGTAAAATTAAAAAGTCAAAGCTTTCTTGCACTGGATGAGCTGGGTTCGGGCTCATTGCCATTGCTAAGTCATTCGCATTCATGTAAAGTAGCTGTTTTGACAAGTTTGGGTGAGTAAAGCACAAGATATAGCCTAGTACTTTCAGTGCCCTGTAGTAGGCGATATCACTTCTTTTGTAGCAGAAATAAACTGCTGCAGAAAAAGCTAGGTTCCATGTATAATGCAATGTGTAATTGCAACACAAATGTAGTGGAGTAAAGAGTACAGATACTTATCCAAAAATTTATTGAATAGGGAGTAAAAGTTGCTAATATATTTGATACTCAGTAAAATCACAGAGTATCCAAAAATATACTCATGTACAGTAATTCATTGCATTTACTCAAATACTTTACGTTACACCTCTGGTAGACATGGACATTTTTCAGAATCAGAACATAATGTAACAATGTAAAAAAAATAATAATAATTTGTATCCAGTAATTTTATTGCATCATTATTATCATAATAACAAACGTCTTATAATTTAATTTATTTTCAATTCCACAATGTGTAATACATAGATATATATGCATATCTATGGCGCTATAGGTGTCATTAATTGCTGAATAATGACCATTGTCCATAGCAACACTCTGTAACTGACCACTCACCCATAAAACAAAAATAAAAATAATACAATTATTTCAGCTCATCTATATTTCATGTATTCCATGTATTCATTATTTGTCAAATAAATTAGGTGAGTTTAAACGAGTTTTCTATTAATTTCTTTAGGGCCAAAACTTTTTAATACAAACAACAGCAATATCTTTGTTTATTTTTACGTAGTTTTTACTTTCTTTCTTGGTTTGTTATTCGTTTAGTGCTCAGTATCCTGCACTGTGTGTGAGCTGGAAGTGAATTGTAGTTGCGCTGCTACTCCACATAACACGGGTGCGTGTCAGGACAGCAGCAGGAATCCAAACAGGGCCAGTGAGTCCAAACATCCAGACACCCAGATCACCCGGAAGACTGTACGTAGGACGCCGACAGACTCAAGAAATCGGTAGGTAACTCGATATCTGACTCAATAGTTGGAATATTAGTAATTAAATAATGAACGAAGCGATGTTGAAAACACTACAAAGTAGGACTGAAACTTTGAAATGTTAGTAGCCCGCGGTCGTCGGACGATGTAACCACTTTTTAAGGGTTTGTGGTGGCACTGAGCCTCAAAGTTGTAAACAGAAGTTTCCCGTTTATCCCTGTTTTTATTTGTGACCGTATGAGAATACAACCTTATCTTTAAATGTAATAATTATGGTTGCCATCATGATAAGAAACTCGACAAACATACAAGTAGGTGGGCTTTTGCAGAACTAAATTTAAAAAGCCTGGTATTGGTAATACAGTTATTGTTATGTTTATTGTTGGATAATGCATTTTATTTCTCTGAAATCAGCTCTGAGAAATATGTCTGTGTCAGTTTACACTATATACACTACTGTCGCGGCGGGAATGTCTGAGTTCAGCCCATAACACTGTTTGTTTTTTGTTTGTTTTGTTTTGTTTTTTTGTTGTTGTTGTTATTGCCGGAGGCTCAAGAGTGAAATGCTGCGCAACATTGTTGCCAGAAGTATGGTACTGTTTGCTTCATCTTCACCAGTAGCTTATAGTTATATGGTTGATCCTGACTCTGTTCTTAGTTGATGTATTTGAGAATAAGCTAGAACATACAGCCATGGCTTAGAGACAGAAAAAGTTAGTACAGTAGTCAATGTTTCCATTTTCTTAAACCGCAAATTTATAAATGTGCATAAATGAACATGTAATTCACCGACTTTTTCCATTAACTTTGTGCAGTTTAATCATGGCACAAATGTTCAGTATCTCTGACAATGAGTCAGACACAGAGACATCGGAAGACTGTGAGGACTCGGACCTGACAAAAAATAACAGTGGATCACAGCAGAAAACAAACCATGATCTCGCTGTGCCTGATAGGCTGAAAGGTGAGTCAGTCTCAAGGGCCTTTAGGATAATAACAAGAACATACGTCATTTCTGTTGTATCCTGGATACACAGCACATCAGACCACAATTACAAGCAAATACAAGAATGTAGTGCACTGCTCAAAGTCTTAAACATAATTTTTAATTTGAATAAACTCTGTGTTGGCATTGGTTTTAGTTTTTAAAGCCAATAATGAAACAAATTTATTTCACATGAAGAAATACTTTAAATGTATTCTGTATGTATATGTAAGGTCTGATCAGATCAGTCAAGTGTCATTCAATATCAAATGTCGTTGTAGGAGAACAACTAGGGAGACACAGGAATCTTTCGATGAATGATGAGGACCTGCTGGAGACTGGGGCAGCAGATGAAGGTGATTTGGTTGGAGGTGATCCATTCAGGCCTAGATCTCGCTCGGCTCCTCCTGCTTTGTGGGCAGCTAAGAAATATGGTCGACAGCTAAGGAGAATGAGTGATGAGTTTGACATCCTCCTTGATAAAGGGGTAAGGAAATTGGACTGTCAAAGAAATATATGCTATAAACTAAATATCTGTAAGCTACTTATTAAACAATGGAAAATTAAAGTGTTTTTCTTATCTTAAATCTCTTACAGATGAAGAGGGTGAAGAGTGCAGGAACAACACGTCAGATGCAGCAGTCACCCAGCTGGTTCGCTTTCCTTTGGAGTCACAAAGAGTCTGATGCAGAGTCGCGCCCCGCAGAGTGACTGACCGTGAATGAATGATGGAAGAAGAGCGAAAAGAGGACTACTGTACATAACAACTGGTGGCGGAAAAAAAAGATGCACTGCTGTGAAGTGAAGGAATAAGTCCATTGACTGGTTTTAAACCTTTTTCATGAACTGCACTGAAACCATTGACTGTTGAAAAGCATGATCGGTTTCTCACTGGCATGTGCTATCCCACAAAGATGACAAAAAATGGAGAATCTCCAAATTTCCTTAAGCTCTGGGAATATTATGCAGTAAATCTCATGAATGTGAGAAAGCTGAATATCCGCAGACTTTCTGTAACTCTGCCACATCAGTTTTTCATATTCATCATATTCATATTCAGATGCAATATTTTTTAACAAAAGCACATTAAAAAGAAGTTAAAGGTATTTTATTGTACATCATCTGTTAAATGAATTTTTAACTACGTTTTTAGACCGTCAGCTGTTTAAAATCTGTTTTTACTGTAAAGGGACTTTGGTCACTTTGAAGAGTCATCTTGCTTTATTACCATCTGAGTCATAAAAATCTCTTGGAATTGTCTACAACCAATAAGCAAAAGAGTCCAAAAACCAAGAATAGGTCTAAACACCCAAGAGAGCAGGAGACATAATCGTTACTGGTATTACTTGAAAATGACAGATTTTCAATGCCTTATAATTTTTTTTTTATTAATTAAAAACAACATTTTATTGTGATGTTATTTTGTTATTGTTTGTAACCGATAAATAAATAAAAAGAAACCACTTTTAGCATGAGTTGTCCTTCTTTCAAAAGCGTAAAATGTAAGTACTGTTCTTCATGTAATAGAATTTGGCAATATATATGAAACTGCAGTTTATTTGTGCATTAGTCATACTCTACTCCTTTGTTCTATCTGAGGAAATTGTAAACAGAGTTTGGACATACAGCTTAAAAAACACTCCTGACAGTATCTCATAATTCCCTTTAAAATGATCAAACAAAAGATACAATAGCAAGCTAACCATGAAATAAAGAGCCATGAAATTTGTAAAGCTGAACAACCTCGGAACTTCTGCAAGTGAAAAAATAGAAATAATAAAAGTTTTTATCAATGAGTTGTCTTTAAGACACTTGTGTTGGATCCCAGCAAAACTTCTCCCCACAATCAAGAGCAGAGAGCCTTTCCATGTCCTCCTCGCTAATCTCAAAGTCAAACAGACACCCATTCTCCACCACACGTTCTGGCTGACATGATTTTGGCAGTACTGGAATGTTCTGTTGTACGGCCCACCTCAGCAACACTTGGGCGGATGTCCTCCCATACTTTTTTGCTAAATCCAGAACCACATAGTCTGATAGTAGAAGCCCTGTACCAAGAGATGAGTATGCCTGAAAACACACCCCTCTTTCCTTACAAAGTGCCCTCAGGTCCTTTTGAACCAGCTTTGGGTGGAACTCTACCTGAATAACTGCTGGGGGCACTTTACAGCTCTTCAGCAGCTCCCACACATGTTCTACTGTGTAATTAGAAACCCCAATAGCCCGACATTTTCCTTCTGAGTAGAACTCTTCCAAGACTGTCCAGCTTTGAGCGCGGTTTTCAGGGTTTCGTTTATCCCCCCCCCGGCAGCCCCTGAGTACCTGGCCAATGAATAAGATATAGGTCAATGTAGCCCAATCCCAACTGCTCCAGGCTCCTCAGGCAACCATCTCTGGCTTTGGACCCCTGATCTTTGGGACCCAGTTTACTAGTAATAAAAACATCTTCTCGTGAGAGGCCATGCTTGGGTAGCAGGTGACGGAGGGCGTGACCTAATTGTGCTTCATTATGGTACACTGCATAAGTGTCAAAGGCACGGTAACCAGCTGTCAAAGCCGCATCCACAGCATTATAAGAGTCCTCTTGACCCTGCAAACGGAAAGTGCCCAGCCCCAACAGAGGCATCCAAGTCCCAGTGTTGAGAAGTACAGATGGCTGAGGGTCAGTCATTTGGAGAGAAGGAGGAAGCCTTAATTTGGAGACTATGAGTGCATAAAGATGAAGTGATGAAGCATGTGCATTAAGAATAATATATTTAAAATGCACTGAGATTATAAAGTTGGCGTAACAGAGACATAAACTCACCCTGCAGGTTTTTTGAAAATGAAAAGACAAACAGTCCACAGTGACTTCAACACGGTCAAGGTTCAATGATCTGTTCCACTTAAACAACAATACTCATTTATCTACGTTCTACCTGTAAGTTAACGTGTAGGAGATAAATTTCTGTGTCTCATTTAGAAGGCTGCGCCCTCCGGAGGTCGAATCCTCTGGAGGTCACATCCTCTGTAGGATGCATATACGAAGTGTCCTCAACCTAGAATTAAACGAGACGGCCTTCATAGGACAGGCGGAAAAGGAAACAGGAAGTATCACGTTGCTATGCCAACACATTTAGAGCATCGTTGCGCTCTCACACAACTTAAATGAAGGAAAACTATTTCTAAATTTGGAAAGTAATTAGAAAAAAAAAATGCTTTTACTTGTTTTTATTTTGTTCAATGTTTGAGGAGCTGCAGCATAACAGACATCTGTTAGAGAAAAAAAAGGAGGAGGTTAAAAACAAAGTTTATCCGTTTTTACCGAGACGATTTAAGTTAAGTTGTAAACACCACATCTGCGCTTGTGTGTACATCTGCCGGCTCCGGCATTTTTCTAATTAACAACGGTTGTTTACGGCGACGCAAAGAATTGTGGGTTATCTGTAGCAGCGAAGGATACACCTCATGCATCCTCCGAATTCCCGTGAAAGAAGGTCGCATTCGGAGTGTCCTACTTGCTTTTCTGAAATGAGACAGTCTCGATGACGTATGCAGCCTTCGAATGCGACCTCCGGAGGGCGCAGCCTTCTAAATGAGACACAGCTAAACTTTCTCAGACAGCCTTATCTTATGTCACTGCTCTACAACCCGCTCAACCTAACTTGATCATGTGACAAAAAAGGGGCTGAACATATTTCTGTGGATGGAACCTATTTTTATACAGTCTATGGTTGGAACTCTCGTCACCTAAACTTCTTATTCTATTAGGGAAATATCATATACATAAAGCAAAATGTATATCGACTGTACCAAATGGTAGACTATTTTCCACTGATCTGAAGATTTTTTACGACTCTCTAACTTCAATACAGAACAATCGAAAAGCTGTAAAGACATCTAGGCTGCTGAAAAGGATACTTGATGTATTAGAACATGATTGATATGTGATCTAAGATACAGAATTTTGGTTTTATTGTTTTACAGATTTAAATGTCTTTGTATTCCCCTATTGTTATCTCAATTAAAAAATATATATAATAAAAATTTAAAAAAAACTCTCGTCACCATAGCAGCGGTTTTGCGCTCAATGGATGTTGCATTTGACCAATCAGAGTTTGTTTTCATGACCTGAGGGCGGGCCTGTCCTGGGCTCTTCACTTTAGCCATTTTCAACGTTCTGAAACAGTTGGCGCGAAATACTTGAGTCGGTAACTTTTTTATACTTTTGCCTCTGGGTGTTGTTTATTAACCATGTCATTTCCATTTATAATTAAAAAACGATTCTATATTGGTTTTATAAATGACAGAAACTGTCATTTATAAAAGAATTGATCATTTGTCCTAGCAAGCTGGAGTTGTTTAGTAACTTGGATTTCTGTAAACTATACACGTATAAACATAAAACATGCATTTATAAAATAGGTAATACCATACTTCTTGTTTAATATTTTTCCAGTGAAGGTTCCATTTATATATAAATGAGTAACAATGTCAATCCAGGCATTTTCCTTCCCTGTACCTGAGACCAGATTATTTCAGGCTGGACAACAAGTCTTCAAATTCAAGTTAAAACCAGGAGACATGAGCAGGCAAGACCATGCAAGCTTATTTTATCTCTTTAATATAAAGTATGCTAAATTATTTTGAATGCCTTTACCCTTTTGATATTAGACACAAAAAGAAAGAAATGTCTGATTTGGATATTGTCTTTTATAGTGTTAATGAGGAAGACATGCTGTATGGGGTGCTAGTCAGTGAGGAGCTGGAGGTTTTTTAAGATCAGGATTATCATTTTGGATTCGATTTAGTAAACCTTGGGAAGATTTCATTCCTAATCTGATTTTGTTTTGCAGAATGCTGTGCGTGCAGTACTTGCAAACCTGGATGGTCTTCACCCCTTCACCACCCAGCATTTCAACATTTTTCTCTGTATGCTTCTCTGAATATAACTTTAAAGGGCTAGTTTACCTAAAAATTAAGGTAAATTTGTTTAAACTGTTACCTTTCTTCTGAAGAACACAGAAGACATTTTGAAGAATGTCAGGACCCAAACAGTTCTGGTTACCGTTGACTTCCATTGTATGGGGGAAAAAAACACTAAGACATTTTTTAAATAACATTTTTTGTGTTCCACAGAAGAAAAAAGTCTTACATGAGGTTAAGTAAATGATGACCAACGTTTCATTTTTGTTGGACTATCCCTTTAAACATATGAAAGCGCTCCGCAAACAGGGACTTTTGACTCTTTTTTTTTTACATATTTTTTGTTATAATAAAACTGCTGTGAATAAAATTTAATTCGGAGTCAGTTAAACTAAAAGTGATTACTATAATTTATACAAATACCATTACTTCCCTTGACAACACCGACATTTACAGACAAAAGTAAATGGGAACAAGTGTCCAAAATTAAGTTCATGAAGGAGGGTGTAAAACTGTCTCCGTATCCATTCCTTATCACACTGAATGTGGAGTATCGTGAACCAGCCTTTCCATATGCAGGTGGGAGTCCTCTCAACATCACCCTTTCACTATGACACATGCTTTAAATGAACTTTGTGAGTCAATGAATGAATGAGGGATTCATTTCTTTGACTCTTGTTCAACAGTGAAAAATACCAATCCCTGGAACACACCGGTGAGTGTCTCTCTTATGTTGAAGTTAAGCTATGTTGAAACTGTTGAAATTAATTTGTAGTTCATTTCTCATTTGAACCTGTAAAAATTCCATACATAATGTTTTGCCATGGTGCTTGTTCTTGATTCATATCGTTGTGATTTTCACAAGCTGAAAAAAGTAAATGTAAATGCCCACAGAAGAAACTGTCTATATCGAAAAGTCAACGGTGTGCTAGTGAGCCAATGAGAACAATCCAGACCACTGCAATGGATCATCCAGAAGAGGGCACTCTGAACCAACACAAGCTTTATAAACAAACCACAGAGTGCTTTCAGTAACTGTGTTGGTGTGCTGCTTTTTTATATGCTGCATGAGGTAATAAATCAATGTCAAGTCTTGTCCTTCACCTATACAAATCTGTCTTTCCCTCAAAGTGTATTTAGTTATTTTTATTCCAACACTTGTAGTCTCATATCTGTACTTCCTCAAAGTCCTTGCTGGATGCATAATGTCACAATAAGACATAAATGGAAATAAAATAATAAAACAATAGAATAGGCCAAAACTTCATCTCATGGCTCATATAGAGTAAACAGATGCCAGTCATTTAAAAGGCCATTCGGAGTGATGATGAAACCAAGCCATACAATTATAGGATGGTGTTTTTAAATTATTTTCATGGGACCTTGCTGTCAGACAGACACAAGGAGACATTTGTGGGATTTTCCACTTTGTTTTCAGTGATGGTTGATAAGCTGATAAGACTGCTGACCCGAGTGATGAGGTGTTATGA